CAATTTCGAATTCATTCACAATTGTTTGCTTTTTTGGGGCTAACTTAGTACCTAATTTTAGCAAACTTTGGTCCAAATCCGATTTTGAAAAATCGTTTTCGAAAGGGCGGGTCAGGATACACACTTGGRGTAAATTTCGTCGCAATCGGAGTATTCTGTCAATTTTGACAATTTTTTGAAATTTCCAAAATTGGGCTAAAACTAAATTTTTTTCGAATTTGATAAAACTTGGTTTTTGGGGACTTGACAACGTGCCTAATCACCCCTAATGATAATTTTGTCTTTCGGTTCACGTGATGCTATGTATCAAGACTTTAAAAATTCTGGGAGCTATCAAGGGGGCTTCCAGTTGGTCTAGTGCGTTTAAATTTGGCGTGGTGGCTGTTTAAAGCCACAAAAATGTGTCGCCAAAATTTCATGTAAATGGGATAATATTTGGCAAAATTAGAAATTTTTGGGCTAACTTAGTACCCAAATTTGGTAAATTTTGGTCCAAACAGCCCTAACACAGTTTTGAAAAACAGTTCTCTTTGTGTTTTCCGAAAGGGCGAGTCAGAATACATACTTGGTGCAAATTTCGTCAGAATCGGATTATTCTCTCAATTTATACAATTTTTCAAAATTTTGAAATTTCCAAAACTGGGCTAAAGATAAATGTTTGCCGAATTTGATGAAACTTGGTTTTTGGGGGCTTTACAGCGTGCCTAATCACACCCTAATGATAATTTTGTGTTTTGGCTCATGTAAGGCTACGTGGCAAAATTTTGATAATTTTGGGGCTATCAAGGGGGCTTCCAGTTGGTCTAGAGCGTTCAAATTTGTTATAGTGGCTGTTTCAAATCACAAAAGTGTGTCACCAAGATTTCAATTAAATGGGATAATATTTGAAAAAATTAGAAATTTTTGGGCTAACTTAGTACCCAGTTTTGGTAAATTTTGGTCCAAACAGTCTTAACCCGGCTTTGAAAAACAGTTCTCTTTGTGTTTTCCGAAAGGGCGAGTCAGAATACATACTTGGTGCAAATTTAGTCGGAATCGGATTATTCTGTTAATTTAAACAATTTTTCAAAATTTTGAAATTTACAAAATTGGGCTAAAGATAAATGTTTGCCGAATTTGATGAAACTTGTTTTTTGGGGGCCTTACAACGCGCCTAATTACACCCTAATAATAATTTTGTGTTTTGGATCACGTAAGGCTACGTTGCAAGTTTTTATAAAATTTTAGGGCTATCAAGGGGGCTTCCAGTTGGTCTAGAGCGTTTAAATTTGGTGTGGTGGCTGTTTCAAGTCCCAAAAATGTGTCACGAAAATTTCATTTAAATGAGTTAATATCTGACAAAATTAAAAACTTTTGGGCTAACTTAGTACCCAAATTTGCAAAATTTTGGTCCAAACAGACCTAACCCAGTTTTGAAAAACAATTATCTTTGTGTATTCCGAAAGGGCGTGTCAGAATACATACTTGGTCAATTTAAACAATTTTCAAAAATTTTGAAATTTCCAAAATTGGGCTAAAGCTAAATATTTATCGATTTTGATGAAACTTGGTATTTGAGGGTTTTAGAACGTGCTTAACCAAATCTTTATAATAATTTTGAGTTTTGATGCACGAAAGGCTTTGTAACAGCTTTTTGGAAATTTTCGGGGCTATCAGTGGGTTTAAATCGTCCAAATTTGGTATTTTGTTTGAAGCCCCAAAAAATTAGCTAACTTAACTCTAATTTTTTTTAAATTTTGGTGTCAAAGGGTTAAATTTGAATTCAGGCAAAAGTTAACTTTACACATTCGTACGTACATTTTATCACAATTGGATTTTTGCATAGTTAGTATAATTTTTCAAAATTGGGCTAAAAATTTGTATTTAGGGATTTAGAGGTTTTTTAATCACATCGTTATAGTAATTTTGAGTCTGTTTTGTTATTATGTACAGTCGCCGTCAAAATTAATGTGTGCATGACATTGTTTTTGTCGTTAAATGTACAAAAGTTCACATAGCGTGTTATAATTTTTTTTTAATTTTGAATTGTGGACATTTTTTGCTTCTTACTTTGTAATTTCAATTACAATAAATTGTAATTAAACTTTTTTTTCTCAGAGATGGGACTGAGGCTTGCCCCGAAGGAGAAGGAAAAGGCAACAGTGCAATTTCTACAACCGGAAGTTATTTCCTGTTATTTACTGGACTGTACACTGTGTTAGTTAATGTAATATTTTAAAATTTTCAAGACAAAATAAGTGGGACACTGAAAAATTTTAAATTTCTTAATTTGTAACATTTAATTGTAATAAATTTTTAACACAGGTTTGATTTTGTATTTTTTTACCACAATTTCACACATAAAAAAGTATGATTAATGACCGTCACTCGTCATAAAAAATAATTACATTGCATAAAACGTTCTTATTTTCGTTGAAATTATTCAAATTTTTCCAAGTCCGATCACAATCTTGAAAATTCCCCGTCGGAATGTCAATCCTTGAACTTAAATTAATTTAAGGAACAATGAAACACCTTTCTGAGAACTACACTGTTTACAAAATCAATAATTCACCCAACAAATGTTAAAATTGGACACAAAGAACCCAATGAATTAGTAGTAAATTTCTTATTTGCTTTCGCTATCGATTTTAAGGTCTAACTTGCCCTACATTGAGCCTAACAAGCGGTGACCTAATTCGTGCCCACGAAAAAAAAATTTGTTAGAAAATCAAAAAACAAAAAACTTGAGTGAGGAATAATAAACTAAATGACGTAATAAATCAACAATACCACAACCAAATTTCAAAATTTCCAAAATCATCAAAAAATTTTGAAGATGAAGATTTGAGTCGATTTTGCCGTTAAAAATACAAAAATTATTTGAAACGGCCACTGAAGTCACCCGATTTAAACCCTGTTAACATCGTTTGGGATATTTTTTTAGACTTTGAATGCTAGAAAAAACTTGTTACTTATAAATACTGAGGCATTCGAGTGTCAAAACGTAAAATTTGTTTTAACATCAATCCAATTTTAACTAAAATTTAACAGATTTGTGTCAATTTTGCGATTAAAAATACAGAAATACTTTGAAGTGGCCACTGAAATCACCCGATTTGGACTCTATTGGATTCGTTTCGGATGTTTTTTTCAGTTTGACTGCTAAATAATTAAAATAGAAAAAATCTTATTACAAGAAGAGAAATTGTCTGGAGGGGCAAAGAGTACAAATTCTGTAAACATCCACTAAAATGACCCGATTTGGTCACTATTGAAATTGTGTAGAATATCTAGAAATCTAGAAATTCCGATTTTTTACCATTTTTATCGTTTCTAAACTAGAATATAGGGGATTGAATCGATTGTGCAATTGAAAATCTTGAAATTTTTTTGAAATGGCCACCGAAACCACCCGATTTGAACTCTATCGAAATCGTTTAGGACATTTTTTTAGTTTGACTGCTAAATAATAATAGAAAAAAATTCTTATTAAAATAAGAGAGAGAGACTTTTGAGCGACAAAACGTAATATATGTGTTAACATCCACCAAAATGACCCGATTTGGTCACTACTGAAACGATACAGAGTATTGAAGTCATTTAATATCATTTTTAATTAGAATTTAATAGATTTGTGTCAATTTTGCATTAAAAATACACAAATTTTTTGAAGTGGCCACTAAAATAACCCGATTTGGACTCTATTGAAATTGTTTCGGATTTTTTTTTCAGTCTGAGTGCTAAATAATTAAAATAGAAAAAAATCTTATAAGAAGAGAAATTGCCTGGAGGGGCAAATAGTACGATTTCTGTGAACATCCACTAAAATAACCCGATTTGGTCACTATTGAAATTGTGTAGAATATCGAGAAATTCCTATTTTTTACCATTTTCATCGTTTCTAAACTAGAATATATCCGATTTGAATCGATTTTTCTATTGAAAATCTTACAAATTTTTTGAAATGGCCACCGAAACCACCCTATTTGAACTCTATCGAAATCCTTTAGGACAATTTTTTAGTCTGACTGCTAAATAATAATAGAAAAAAATTCTTATTAGAATAAGAAAGAGACTTTTGAGTGACAAAACGTAATATCTGTGTTAACATCCACCAAAATGACCCGATTTGGTCACTATTGAAACGATATAGAATATTGAAGATCATTTAATATCAATTTGAACTAGCATTTAACAGATTTGTGTCAATTTTGAGATTAAAAATACACAAATTCCTTGAAGTGGCCACTGAAATCACCTGATTTGGACTCAATTGAAGAAAAATTTTTTTGTCAGAAAATTAAAAGAAATACTTGAAGCAATAATAAACTAAATGACTTAATAAATGTCGATGCATTTTTATTGTCTCCCAGTATAATGACATTTCCAAAATCATAGCCTACTTTGATCAAAAAAAATTCTCGATTTGTTTTCCAATCAAAAATTTATAGTTCCACACACGAATCAATTAAGGGTGGTGACCCTCGATTGTTCCTCAACCCTCCTCAATTATTAACAAAAAAAATTGCGATTTTCTTGGAATATTTTCCAGGGGTCAAATTAGGTCACCCCGTAAAAAAATCGAGATAAGATCGGGCAAAAGGTCACAAAACCGTCTCCCGTTGCCATAACAAACGCCAACCACAACACTTTCTGACCAATCCCGAGCCCCCAAACCCTCGCTTCATTCGAAGTTGGGCTAAGTTGCGAAGAAACCACCCCAAGATGCAGACGTGTGAATTGGGCGTCGTCAAGTACATTTTGTTCACTTTCAATTTAATTTTCGCGGTGAGTGGATTTTTTCAGTTTTTTTTCAGTGTGGTTGGGCAGATTTCAGGCATCGGGCTGATCGTCGCCGGAGCGTTCGTCCTTTCAGATGTGGGCGAGTTCGAGCACTTCATGGAGGGGCGCATTTTGGCCCCGCCGGTGGTGCTCATCGTCGCGGGGTGCATCGTGTTTCTGGTGGCCTCTTTGGGGTGCTATGGGGCTATCAGGGAGTCCTACTACATGCTCATGGCTGTAAAAAGGCAATTGCGGGTTTGGGGCCCCCATCATGATATTTTTTTTTCTAGTTTGCGCTCTGTTTGCTCATTATTTTGATCATCGAACTCGCGGTGGGAATTGCGGCCGCTGTCTACAAAAACGACTTCCAAATGTCCATGAAGGACATCATGAAGAGTTCGATGCAGCGGTTTGAGAACAGCAAATCGGATCGAGTCGCCTGGAACAACCTACAAACTAAAGTAAAGTCCGATTTTTACTCAAAAACACGAATTTAAAATATTAAAAAATGGCAGAGTTACCGATTTTTAAAGTGGAAGGTGCAAATCCAAAAATTTTTGAAAAACTCCAAATATTTCAAAAACGGCTAAATTTAGGTATAGGGAAAGCTGATGAAAACTTCCTTAAAATAACCCGATTAATCCAAAAACTCAGAAAAAAATATACCTTTCCATTAAAAATAAGAAAGTTGAGACCGACTTCCGGTATAACCGGAAGTGCCGTCATCTTGAAAATATTCTCATTTAGAAGGACTTAACGGTTTATAGGTATGTACCAATTTTCAAATAAATGCGATTTTTCCAACTCCCAATACTTTTAATGTGGGGTTTAGACAGAACACCCTGTATACAGCTTGTTCCAAATGTCTCAGAAATAAGTGACATTTTGTCTTTGATAAAAAATTATTACACAAAAACCAAAAAAAGTATGGTTTTTGAGGTTTTTAATATCAATTTTAACCGAATGTTGGACATTTGTGTCGATTTTGCCATTAAAAATACAAATTTTTTTGAAACGGCCACTGAAATCACCCGATTTAAACTCTATTGAAATCGTTTAGGACATTTTTTTAGTCTCTGAATGCTTTTTTAGTGTTAAAACGTAAAATCCACCAAAATGACCCGATTTGGTCACTATTGAAACGATGTAAAATATGTTGATGAAAATGTTACAAATTTCTGACAGTGGCCACTAAAATCACCTGATTTTGTCACTATTGAAATTGTGTAGAAAATCGAGAAATCTCTATTTTTTAACGTTTTTAAATTAGAATAAGCAGATTTGAATCGATTTTGAATTGAAAATCTCACAAATTTTCTGAAATGGCCAGTGAAACCACTCGATTTGAACTCGAAATCCTTTAGGACAATTTTTTAATCTGACTGCTAAATAATAATAAAGAAAAATTGTTATAGCATAAAACAGAAGATTTTGAGTGACAAAACGTAATATCCGTGCGAACATCCACCAAAATGACCCGATTTGGTCACTGTTGAAACGATATAAAATATTGAAAGTCATTTAATATCAATTTTGATTAGAATTTAACAGATTTATGCCAATTTTTTTATTAACAATACACAAATAGTTTGAAGTGGCCACTGAAATCACCCGATTTAGACTCTATTGAAATCGTTTCGATTTTTTTTTCAGTCTCACAGCTAAATAATCAAAATAGAAAGAGTCATATTGGAAGAGAAATTACCTGAAGGGGCAGAGAGTACAATTTCTGTAAACAACCACTAAAATAGCCTGATTTGGTCACTATTGAAAATTTGTAGACTATCCAGAAATTTCTATTTTTTTTCATTTTTATCGTTTTTGAACTAGAATACAGCACATTTCAATCGATTTTGCAATCGAAAATCTTACAAATTTTTTGAAATGGCCACCGAAACCACCCTATTTGAACTGTATCGAAATCGTTTAGGACAATTTTTTGGTCTAACTGCTATAATAATAGAAAAAATTCTTATTCGAATAAGAGAGAGAGACCTTTGAGTGACAAATCGTAATATCTGTGCTAACATCCAGCAAAATGACCCGATTTGGTCACTATTGAAACGATATAGAGTATTGCAAGTCATTTAATATCATTTTTAATTAGAATTTAACAGATTTGTGTCAATTTTGCATTAAAAATACACAAATTTTTTGAAGTGGCCACTGAGATCACTCGATTTTGACTCTATTGAAATTGTTTCGGACTTTTTTTTCCAGTCTGACTGCTAAATAATTCAAATAAAAAAAACTTATAGGCAGAGAAATTGCCTGGAGGGGCAAATAGTACCATTTCTGTAATCATCCACTAAAATAACCCGATTCGGTCACTATTGAAATTGTGTCGTATATCGAGAAATTCCTATTTTTTACCATTTTCATCGTTTCTAAACTAGAATATAGCCGATTCGAATCGATTTTTCTATTGAAAATCTTGCAAATTTTTTGAAATGGCCACCGAAACCACCCGATTTGAACTCTATCGAAATATTTGGAACAATTTTATAGTCGGATTGCTAAATAACAATAGAACAAGATTCTTATTAGTATAAAAGAGAGGCCTTCCGTGTCAAAATCCAGCAAAATCGCCCGATTTGGTGCCATGTATTTTTCGTAGTTGAAATGTTGCGGAGTGGAAGGCCCCTCCGACTGGCCCGAAAACACGCGTCCTGTCACTTGCTGTCATGCAATTCGAGAAGGGGTGGCCCCCCCGGAGGCCCACCATTGCAGGGCTGCCAAACCCGAAGACGAGATTTTGTACGTCGATGGGTGTTTTTACCAACTGCAAGACAAGGCCGAATCGGCCGCGAAGATCTTGATTGGCGTTGGAATCGGAATTGCTTTTGTTGAGGTAATTACCCCCACCCAAAAAAAAACAATAAAAAAAATTGTTTTTTCAGGTGATTGGGATTATTTTGGCCTGTTGGTTGGCCTCAGCAGTTAAAAATAAAGATTAATTCGGGAAAAAACACACCACGGTATTTTTCAAAGCAATCAACTGTACATTGTAAGGAACGAAATTATGATCATTTCCGAGGTTTTTTGAACTTGATTTTGCATAAATAAAGTGTTTCAATTACCGAAAAGTGAATAGTTGGCGAAAAATTCGTTTTTATAAAATAAGCGACATTTTCAATGCATGCGGCTGTACCTCTTATCCATCAAATAAAAGCAAATAATTGTTTAATTTCTTACTTCCTATTTAATATCTAAGGCAATTAGATACATATTTATCTATATTTAAGGCATTTAGATACATATCTATCTATTTATAGCGTAGTTTAGTACAAAACAGTATTTAATAAACAATCAAATTTTTTCAAGTGTATTATTTCCCTCTCTCTTTTTTTCTCTCTCTCGCTGTAAATAACGTCACATTAGCCTAATTCACCCCAAATTTATTCCACAGCCCCCTCTGACAGCCCCCAATTAAACTAAAGCTTTTGACGTGTCGTCAATCTTGATAATGACCAATCTAAAGTTTCGTTTTCCTTTCGATATCGTTATAAATATCACTTGAGAGGTGAACGTTCTTGTTGATGGCATATTTTGACGAAACTTTGCACGAATTTGTCGAAAATTGATTTTTGAGAGGGCAATGATCCGCCAATTTGCAATTTGGTGGAGTAATAAATTTCGAAAAGTATTGATTTTGTGTCATGACACAAAAATATTGTTATTAATGGAAGAACTTGTGATATTTTTAACAGAAAACGTCACATATTCTTCAACCTAGCCCACTAGATGTAAACGACCGGTTAAATTGGGACATTTGACCTACTTAGATATGGATTTTTGTCGTAATTATCAAACATTTACGAAAGATTTTATCTCTAATAAAATAAAAAAGGACGTGTAATTGCACCTACTAGTCTTGTTTCATTTTTTTTTTAATTTTACGATTGAAATCAAATTTTTTCAGGTAAAATAATCAGATCTCCCGTTTTTTTACATTTTAAATGGAGTTGTGTCGATTTTGCGATAAAAAATGGCCACTGAAATCACCCGATTTCGATTCTATTGAAATCGACATTTTTCAGAATATGTTAAATAAAAAAAATGTTATTTTAGTAAAAGCGAGCTCTTTGAGTGATAAAAAGTAAGATTTGTGTGACATCCATCAAAATGACCCGATTTGGTCATAATTGAATTGAGAAATCCGTTTTTTTTTTGGTAATTCTATCTTGTTTTAACAAAGATACAGTTTTGCAATAGAAAATCTTACAAATTTTTTGAAATGGCCACCGAAACCACCCTATTTGAACTCTATCGAAATCCTTTAGGACAATTTTTTAGTCTGACTGCTAAATAATAATAGAAAAAAATTGTTATAGAATAAAAGAGAGGATTTTGAGTGACAAAATGTAATATCCGTGCTAACATCCACCAAAATGATCCGATTTAGTCACTATTGAAACGATGTAGAATATCGAGAGTCGTTTAATACCAATTTTAACCAGAATTTTACAAATTTGCGTCGATTTTGTTATAAAAATACAGAAATTCTTTGAAGTGGCCACTAGAATTACCCGATTTGAATTCCGTTGAAACCTTTTAGAGGGCATTTTTTACCAAATAATAATAATTGAATTTTGTATAGTAATAAGCAAGTTATTTATTCACAAATCTCCAATTTTTTTTCTTAAAACCCATAAAAATACTAATTTCTTTAATAATAAAGTACCTCATACATTTCGCTTTAATGTCTTTTGATTTTTCAATTTTTTCTTCATTTTTATGTTAAATTTCACATTTTTTTTTGCAAAATTTGTATTTTTTTCAGGTGAATCAGAAGTTTTAGGCCTTTGAAAATCAATGAAACACAACTTTTTGTACTAATTTTTCTGTATTTTTGAAAGGCTTCAATAATTTTTGCCCTTCTACCTCACAAGGCACATTTTTAAGATCATGTAGTTTATTACTATTAAAACATTTTATTTTTATTTAGACAGATTTTTTTGTGTTAAATTCCACGATTTTTTTAAGTTAATTTGAGGCTTTAAAGCTTCCAAAATAAATAAAACAAAAAGTTTTATACTTTTTTTGTGTATTTTTCTAATTTGGGTCCAATTTTGTTCATCTTTAGTTAAAGTGTTACATTAGTTTACTGTTTTTTATTTTGCTTTTATTTAAAAATTCTTGAGTATTTTTAAAAGAATTTTTTGGCATTTCTGTGATTTTTTTTAATTTTTGAATTTGTGTTTAAATTTTTTGTAAATTTTTATGGTACAAACAACAAAACAAAGCTTTTAGTACGTATTTTTGTGTAGGCATTTTTTGTCATTTTTGTGTGGTAATAAGCGAGTTATTTGGTCACAAATCTCCCAACTTTTCTCTTAAAACCCATAAAAACACTAATTTCATTAATAATAAAGTACCTCATGCACTTCGCTTTAATGATCTTTTTTTGCAAAATTTGTAATTTTTTCAGGTGAATTAGAAGAATTTTTGCCCTTCTACCTCACATGGCACATTTTTAAGATACTACAGATCATGTAGTTTATTACTATTAAAACATTTTTTTACATTTAGACAGATTTTTTTGTGTTAAATTCCACCTTACATTAGTTTACTCTTTTTTTTGCTTTTATTTAAAAATTCTTGAGTATTTTTAAAAGAATTTTTTGGCATTTTTGTGATTTTTTTTAATTTTTGACTTTGTGTTCAGTTTTTTTGTTAAATTTTTTATGGTAGAAACAACAAAACAAAGCATTTAGTATGTATTTTTGTGTAGTCATTTTTTGTCATTTTTGTGTAGTAATAAGCGAGTTATTTGGTCACAAATCTCCCAACTTTTCTCTTAAAACCCATAAAAATACTAATTTCTTTAATAATAAAGTGCCTCATGCACTTCGCTTTAATGTCCACGCGGTTATAACCCCTTGTTCCAATTGTGTTTTTATTTAATGACTTGTCGGCCAATTTAGGGGCTGCTATAGAAACAGAATGTTGTAAACGCCAATAGAAAATTCCAAGCATTTAGTTGATCACAAAGTGTGGACTTGGTCGCGATTTTCTCTTCGCGTGCTTGACTAAAACACCAAAAAAAAACCACTTTCGTGATGGAGTCTTGCGAAATGAGCTTCATTAAATACGTTTTATTTATTTTCAACCTGATTTTCGCCGTAAGTCAATTTTCAGGCGAAATTTCATAATTTTTCAGCAGATTTCAGGAATTGGGATTATCATCGCGGGAGCCTTGGTGTTGTCAGATGTCGGCGATTTCAAGTATTTCATGGAAGATGAGATTTTGGCCCCGCCGATTGTCTTAATTGTTGTGGCGGCGATTGTTTTTCTCGTGGCCTTCTTGGGCTGTTTTGGGGCAATCCGCGAGTCCTACAAGCTCCTAATTGCGGTGAGTTTTTTAATAAAAAATCAACAAATTGATTTTTTGTTAATTTAATTGTGTGTGACTGTGAATACATTGTCGGAATCGATTTTGTGTCAAAATCTATAATTTATGATTTTGTGTTAAATTATTTCAGTTTGCTGTTTGTCTTTTGGTCATATTTTTCGTCGAAATGGCGGTCGGAGTCGTTGCAGCGATTTACAAAAATGATTTTGGGGATGCGCTGAAAAACGCGCTGAAAAAATCGCTTGAAAATTACTCGAAAAATGAAATGGATAAGATTTCGTGGGACAACGCGCACTTGAAGGTAAACTATTTTACTATTCTAGGGCGGCTGTGACGATGCTATTTTGTTTTATCGCCATTTCATTTGTGACTTGATTAATGTCACTCATTTAGTGGCGACATTTGATTGGTACCACATTTTTAAGGTCATGTGGTGTATTAAAACAATTTTTCAATATTTAGACAGATTATTTTTTTTTTTGGGTTTGATCGCACTATTTTTTAAGCTAATAAATAAAACAAAAAAAATTGTGTTTTTTTGTGTATTTTTCTAATTTGGATCCAATTTTTTTCTTTTTTTTTAGCCAAAGTGTTATATTTTTAAGGTGATGTAGTTTATTGTTTTTTATTTTGCGTTTATTTACAAATTCTCAAGTATTTTTAAAAGAATTTTTTGTCATTTTTGTGGATTTTTTTAATTTTTGAATTTGTGTTTATTTGTCAAATTTGCTTTGTGTATTTGTACTTTTTTTGTGTATTTTTCTCATTTAGGTTTAATTTTTTAGTTAAAGTGTTGCATTTTTAAAAACATGTAGTTTTCTGTTTTTTATTTTGCTTTTATTTAAAAATTCTTAAACATTTTTGTAGATTTTTTTAATTTTTGAATTTGTATTTTTGTCAAATTTCATTTTTTTAAGGGAAAAACAACAAAAAAAATTTCGGTACCTATTTTTGTGTGGGTATTTTTTTAATTTACCTATGTTATTTTTTTCCTTTCATCTCAAATGTCACATTTTTTAAGTCATCTAGTTTATTACATACTTATGACTATCAATTATGATTGATTTTTTTATTTTTACATTTTTCATTAGAAAAAAGAATAATTTGACATTGTTTAATCAGATTTTTTATTTTTGACTTTTTCTTCATTTTTATGTTAAATTTCATTATTTTTGCAAAATTTATTATTTTTTAAGTGAAGTAGAGGTTTTAGGTTTTTGAAAATCAATAAAACACTACTTTTTGTACTAATTTTTCTGTATTTTACCTCACATGGCACATTTTTAAGGTCATGTAGTTTATTATTTATTATTGTTATTACATTTGACAGGTTTTTTTATATTTTTGTGTTAAATTCCACTATTTTTTTAATTAATTTAAGGCTTTAGAGCTTCCAAAATAAATAAAACAAAAACATTTGTACTTTTTTTGTATGTTTTTCTAATTTGGGTTTCATTTGTAACTTGATTAATATCACATTTAGTGATACACACAGATTTGTACTTTGTTTGTGTATTTTTCTCATTTAGGTTTAATTTTTTTCTTTTTTAGTTAAAGTGTTGCATTTTTAAGGTTCCTGTTTCTTGCTTTTATTTACAAATTTTTAAGCATTTTTGTATTTTTGTCAATTAATTTTTTAATTTTTTTAAGGGAAATACGACTAAAAAAATTTGGTACCTATTTTTGTGTGGGTATTTTTTGAATTTAGGTTATTTTTTTCCTTCTATCTCAAATGTCACATTTTTTAAGTCATCTAGTTTATTACATACTAGACTAATGATTAATTTTTTTATTTTTAAATTTTTCATTAGAAAAAAGAATAATTTGACATTGTGGAGTCAGATTTTTTATTTTTGAATTTCGTCTTCATTTTTATGTTAAATTTCATTATTTTTTGCAAAATTTGTTATTTTTTTAGGTGAATTAGAGGTTTTAGGTTTTTGAAAATCAATAAAACACAACTTTTTGTACTAATTTTTCCGTATTTTACCGCACATGGCACATTTTTAAGGTCATGTAGTTTATTATTTCATCGCTATTAAAAATAACACAATTTTTTTTATATTTTCTATTTCTATAACTCTCGATCATTTTTTAAGAGAATTTTTTTAATATTGTTCAGTCAGATATTTTATTTTTAAATTTGTTAATTTTTCATGTTAAATGACACTTTTTCTGCAGAATTTGGTATTTTTTTAAGTGAATTAGCAATTTTAGGTCTTTCAAAATCAATAAAACAGAACTGTTCTTATAATTTTTTTTCTGTCTTTTTCAAATGTGAATACAATTTTTGGCCTTTAAACCCAAATGTCACGATTTTAAAGTCTTGTAGTTTACTGTTTACAAAATTGCAATTTTTTAAAGAATTTTTTTCACAATGTTTGAGTTTTTGCATTTTTTAAATGATAGAATTTATTATTTTTCTATAAAATTTATTGTTTTAAGTTTATTACAGGCTTTTGACTTTTTGAAACCATTTGAATATTTTTTTTCTATTTTTTTCTCTTATTTTTCAAATTTGAGTCCAATTTATGCCCTTCCACCTCAAATATCACATTGTTAAGGTCATGTTGTTTACTATTGCATGTTCATCAAATTTCAACCTGTTATTATTTTTTATTTCGTTTAAAAAGTATTAAAAAATGCCATTCTTTGAGTCAACTTTTAATTTTTTTACCTTTTTTTGTACAAATTTTCCAAACTTGCCCTTTAGCTGAAATGCTGCGGAGTGGAGGGCCCCGACGACTGGCAGGGCCAGCCCTTGCCCTACTCCTGCTGCCACGTGGACGACGAGCTCTCCTCCACCCTCAACTCCTACTGCATTAACGTCGCCAGAGGCAAATATTTATACGAAACCGGCTGCTACGACCAACTCAAAATCAAAATCCACGAAAACACCAACATCCTCATCGGGGTGGGAATCGGAATCGCCTTCATTCAGGTAATTTCATTGACGAAAAAAATTTTTTTTCATAAAATTTCAGATCGTTGGGGTTATTTTGGCCTGTTGGTTGGCACACACGATAAAAAACGAAAGCGGGGAAAAATGAGAAGAGACCATTGTGGATATTTACGACCAAAGGAAACACATTTTCGTCTACTGACAAATGGGGTGTTTCCGTGTTTCCTTTGACCCACTCAAGGGGCAGGTCACCGAACCAACTTCATTTGCATTTTGGTTTTTTCAGCAATAATTAATTCTCTAAAGGGCTTCGTGTTATATGAATAAGTGTGTCAGTGTGCAATAAAAGATTTATTTAAACATTTGTTGTTTTTTTGGGGGATTCTAATACCAACGTTAAATGACATCTAGTGAAAAAGAAAAACCTTGTATCCGAAATTTCCCATAGTAATTCGGCCTTGTGCACACTTGACGTTACCAAATGTCAACCTAAAATCGTGTATAAAGTTGTAAAAAATCGTTTTAAAATGGAATTTAACGTTTATAACAAGTGTCACATGTTACCCCCTGTGACACATTTCAATTTTTTTTTCTCTSTGAACACTGAAAAAAGTTTTTAGTATTCTAAAAAGTCTTTACAAAACGTTCAAAGTGTATCAAAATATGGCGTAGAGCATTTTAATCAGTACCTAAAATATCTATAATAACGATTTTTTTCCAAAGTTACTCAATTTTCTCTTTCTGTAGTTCAACAGATTGAATTAGTTCTGTTTTGTTTGAATAATGAAAAAAAAAAATTTTTTTTCACCACAAAAGTTCAAAATCTCGAAAACTACACGTCTTAGAGCATTTTAATCGGTAAAAAAAAATAAGTCTTGACGCTTGTTTAAATTTAAAAAAAGTGTTAATTTACAATAACGAATTTTTTTGTACAAAAATCATTTAATTTGTCATCCTTCTGTTTTTTTTTCAATTGGAACACCGAAAAAAGAAGAATTTGTTTTAGTACTTTAAAAATTCATCAGAAAACGCCCAAAATTTGGTAAAACATTGAAAACTACACGTTGTAGAGCATTTTAACCAGTTCCAAAAAAGTAACAAATATTGAACGCTTCTTTGAATTAAAGAAAAACATCTTTCTATTTACAATAACAGTTTTTTTTCAGCAATAATTAATTCTCTAAAGGGCTTCGTTTTATGTAAATAAGTGTGTCAGTGTGCAATAAAAGATTTATTTAAACATTTGTTGTTTTTTTGGGGGATTCTATTACCAACGTTAAATGACATCTAGTGAAAAAGAAAATGTCAATTAAAAAAATGTTTTTTATAACAAATTGTGACTTGAAATAACACATCGGGACGCAAAGTCCAAGACCAAGGATTTGTTATTTTATTTTATTTCTTTTACAAACAACACAAACGTTTGCTTTCGGTACCAATCACTAAATCCAAAATTCACTATTGTAGTTCGGACTTGTACACACTTTGATATTACCGAAAAATGTTTAATTCTTTATTTAAAGGGCGTGTGACGTATACGAATCAAGGTTTCGTTTAAATAATTTAAATTTTCTAATCATAATAATGTTTTTTTATTTTATTTGCTTTCGGTACCAACCTTGAATCCGAAATTTCCCATAGTGATTCGGCCTTGTGCACTAAATGTCAACCTAAAAATGGTGCAAAAAGTGGTAAACAACCGTTTTAAAATGGAATTTAACGTTTATAACAAGTGTCACATGTTACCCTGTGACACATTTCAATTTTTTTTCTCTTAGAACCCTGAAAAAAGTTTTAATATTCTAAAAAGTCATTACAAAACGTTCAAAGTGTATCAAAATCTGGAACACTACTCGCCGTAGAGCATTTTAACCAGTAACTAAAATATTTACAATAATGTTTTTTTTTTCAGTCACTCAATTTTCTCTTTCTGTAATTCAGCAGACTGAATTAGTTTTGTTTTGTTTGAATAATGAAAAAAAGAATTTTTTTTCACCACAGAAAAGTTCAAAATCTCGAAAACTACACGTCCTAGAGCGTTTTAATCGGTTCAAAAAAAAAAACAAGTCTTGGAGCTTGTTTAAATTTAAAAAAAGTTTTATTTACAATAACGAATTTTTTTGTACAAAAATCATTCAATTTATCATCCTTCTGTTTTTTTTTTCAATTTGAACACCGAAAAAAGAAGAATTTGTTTTAGTACTTTAAAAATTCATCAGAAAACGCCCAAAATCTGATAAAATATTGAAACCTACACGTTGTAGAGCATTTTAACCAGTTCCAAAAAAGTAATAAATTTTGAACGCTTGTTTGAATTAAAGAAAAACATCTTTATATTTATAATAACGATTTTTTTTCAGCAATAATTAATTCTCTAAAGGGCTTCGTGTTATATAAATAAGTTTGTCAGTGTGCAATAAAAGATTTATTTATTTTTTGGGGGATTCTGTTACCAACGTTAAATGACATCTAGTGAAAAAGAAAATGTCAATTAAAAAATGTTTTTTATAACAAATTGTGGCTTGAAATAACACATCGGGACGCAAAGTCCAAGACCAAGGATTTGTTATTTTATTTTATCTCTTTTACAAACAACACAAACGTTTGCTTTCGGTACCAATCACTAAATCCAAAATTCACTATTGTAGTTCGGACTTGTGCACATTTTAACATTACCGAAAAATGTTTAATTCTTTCTGTGATTCGTTTTGTATACAAATTGTTTAAATAATTTAAATTTAAATTTTCTAATGAAAATAATGTTTTTTTATTTTATTTGCTTTCGGTACCAACCTTGAATCCGAAATTCCCCATAGTGATTCGGCTTTGTGCACCAAATGTCAACCTAAAAATCGTGCAAAAATTGTTAAAAAATCATTTTAAAATGGAATTTAACGTTTATAACAAGTGTCGTGTGTGTTTAAGTGCCGACGAACAAATGCACAACTTATTCGACGCCTTTGACCAAGGCATAACCTTACGTGATATTTTAACAAATACGACAAAATTCGAGGTAAAACCGTTAAATTTCGTTCATTTTATTGATTTTCGGTGTTTAGGTTGACAAAGACGACGGTTTATCGCCGTACATTTGCCAGAACTGCTCCACAATCATCGTCGATTTTTATAACCTCAAAACCATCTACGAGGAGAACGAGAGCCAAATCCGGGCCCTCCTCTCCAGCTGTGAGTCGCAATTGAGCGAAAGTGAGCCCCCGGACGACTTCATCACAATCAAAGTGGAAGAGGCAAAGCCCGAGTTCGAGGAAGTGGCCACGTTCACGTGCCCCGAATGCGGGGAGATTTTCCTGGACAAGGGGGCCATTCAGTCGCACTTGGTGCTCACCCACAACATCACCGTGATCGACTTCGACGAGATCGCGCCCCCCGCCGAGTGCAAGTGCAAGATCTGCGGCGAAGTCGTCGACTCGGGGGAGGCCTACGCGGCGCATCTGGAGACCCACAAGAAGAACGTCTGCGACGTCTGCGGGGTGGGCTTCACGAAGAAGTCCTACCTGAAGGACCACCTGGAGGTGCACAGCCCCGAGAAGCGCCACGTGTGCAACTACTGCAACAAGGCGTTCAAGAGGAGGACGGTGCTGGTGAAGCACCGGCGCATCCACACGCACCCCCGGGCCCACATCTGCGAGAAGTGCGGGAAGGCGTTCACGGATCGGGGGACTCTGAAGACACACGACATGTTGGTGCATGTCCGCGAGAGGAATTACGTGTGTCTCATTTGTGGGGTGAAGTTCCCGTTGAAGGCCACGCTTGAGAAGCATATCAGGAGGCACCAGAATAAGGAGCGCGAGTTTTTCTGCACGCAGTGCCCCCTGGGGTACAGGGACAAGTCGAGTCTCGATAGACATGTCTTTGTTAAACACAGTGGAAGGAATGTTAAGTTGACGTGCGATGAGTGCGGGAAGCAGTACACGACGATGGGGAATTTGGCCAAACATCAAAGGGTGTGTCACAGGGGGGAGGAGAAAATCGAGTGAATTGATAAAAAATTTGTAAATAAAAAAAATTATTCGAAAAACTTTATTTACAATTTTTTTCCCTCTGAACATTGAAAAAAGAAGAAGCTTTAGTATTCTAAAAAGTCATTACGAAAACTACTCGTCGTAGAGCATTTTAACCGGTTAAAAAACATTTTCTATGTATTTACAACGAAATTTTCTTTACAAAAATTACTCAATTTGCTCATTCCCCCTGTGACACATTTCAA